ACCCTGAGGCTGCTCTAAGTCATACCAGGGGAAGGTCAGGGCCTGAATGGCCCCGGAATACAGGAAGCTCAAAGCCTGCATCTCTTCAACATGCTCCAGACATCCACACGTGCTGTTTTGCTACAGAGCATGTGCCAGCATTTCTGCCCATAGTTAATGTGTCTTTGTGTTGGGAAATCACATGGCTGGTAAAAGTTTCCATTGACCTGAACTGAAATTTTCTGGTTTTTCAGTTAATGAAAACATTTTGACTTTTCTCCCCGACTCAGGAAGGGAAAATTCTGTGAAACCTCAAACGTTTTTGCAGGATCTTGGGGAAAACCGTTTCCCACATCCCTCTTGTTAGGCTCCTTTGCCCTCAGTTTTAGTCGCCGCTTTAGTGGCCTGAGTGGAACGCCTTGGCAAGTGTGGCCTTTGGGCCCAGCCACAGAGAACATGAGTTGTTCTAGCCCCACCTAGGGGCTCTCGGCTCCGATATTGCGGGTCTCGCTCTTCGCTCTGGAGGGCCCCAGTTCTAGCCCTGGTGTGGCAGCCATCACATGTGTGTATCGAGGATGGTGCGTCAAGGGGGAGACCATGAAATGCAGCCACACCTTCCCCAAGGAGGCGTATTTGAATGGGCTGCCCGTCCCTGGCAGAATGGGCCACCACATACGACGGTGCCGGAAGTTAAGATGATGGATGGGCCCATTTTGATGCACGGGTACAGTGGGTCATGATGCCATCTTAGCTCCACCCTGTGCTCCCCAGCCACCCCATGCAAATGGCGGCCGTACATACAGGAGCGGGGGCTCTGTCCAGGGACCAGGGACTATGACAAAGGTTTGGGGGTCATGGGGGATATAATCCACTAAACACGAGCTCCCAGTGGGGCACTGTGGCCAAAGGCGCTAATGCGACCCTGGGACGTATAACCAGGGGAATCTCGAGTAGGAGCCGAGAGGTTATTTTACCTCTGGATTTGGCCCTGGTGCGACCGCACTGGAATCCCGTGTCCAGTTCTGGTGCCCACAATTCAGGAAGGATGTTGATAAATTGGAGAGGGGTCAGAGTTGAGACACAAGAAGGATTAAAACCTGCTTTATAGTGATAGACTCAAAGAGCTCCATCTGTTTACAAGAGAAGGTTAAAGGGTGACTTGATCCCCGTCTACAAATACCTACATGGGGAACAAATATTTAACATTGGGCTCTTCAGTCTAACACGATCCAATGGCCGGAAGTTGAAGCTGGACAAACTCAGACTGGGAATAAGGCATCAGCTGTTAACAGTGAGCGTTAGTCACCCTCGGAACGAGTTACCAAGGGGCGCGGTGGATTCTCCATCACTGACAGTTTGTAAATCACGATGGGATGATGATGTAAAAGCTCCGCTCAAGGGATTATTTTGGGGTAGTTCTAAGATGCGTGTGATGCAGGAGGTCAGACAAGATGATCACAATGGTCCCTTCTGGTCTTGGGATCTCTGCAAAACGACAACCCAGGGCCGAGACGTGTGGGTTTTAGTGCCCTCTCTGGCCGGGATTCCCACGCAGAGACAGACACCAGGAATAGGTCCATCTCTCACCACTGTGCTACTTGCTTATTTTCAGCCAAGAAGACGCCCCCCTGCCCACGCTGCTCACCCCACGTCACTGCTGCGTGCCCGGACAGCTGGGTGGGATACCAAGGGAACTGCTACTACTTCTCAGAGACTGAAGGGAACTGGAACAACAGCCAGAGCCACTGCTCTTCCCTCAGCGCCTCCCTGGCTTCCATTGATTCCCTGCCAGAGCTGGTAAGGAAGAGACACGAACCTTCATAACCATAGCTAGGGACATGCCAGAGCCTGGTGCCCCCTGAAGGCCTAAGGCAGCTCCTAGATTCAAGGAACTGAATCCCCCCCCCTGTGGAGCTGGTTGTAAAATGGAAATTCAGGGGCAGGATTTGACATTTTTTAATAGAAAATAGTTGATTTTCCCCTCAAATGTCATTTCAGTTTGGGGTTTTTTTGTTTGTTTTTTTCCCTTTTTCCACATTTTATACTGGAAAAACAGAGGAAAAATAAAAAGTGTGGGGGAAAAGGTGTGGAAACCCACCTTTTTAAAAAAACAAACTATTTCCCAAATTTTTCCCAGCAGGAAAATTGTTCCTTTCTTTTTTATAGTAACATTTGCACTTTTTCATCTCAACAGTATATGCCTCGTTTTTAATCTGTCTATATAATTTAACCATCAATAAAGACAAGTGCAAAGTACTTCACCTAGGAAGGAAAAATCAAATGCATGACGGCAAAATAGGGAATACCTGGCTAGGGAGTCGTGCTGCTGAAAAGGGTCTGGGGGTTCCAGTGGATCACAAATATGACTATGAGTCGACAATGTGATGCAGCTGAGAAAAAGGCGAATCTCATCCTGGGGTGTATGAACAGGAGTGTTGTACGTAAGACATGGGAGGTGATTGTCTAGGTTTATTTTGTCCTGCCTGAGCAAAGGCGCTGGATGATGATCTCTCGAGGTCCCTTCCAGCCCCGTGTTCTATGATTCCCCAAAGTTGGGAAACTGTAAGAAAATGGGAGGAAACCCCCAGTTATGAAATGGGGGGAGGGGGAAGTATTTGGGTTTTTTTAAATAAATTTTCCTGTGCAAAAAATCATGTTGGATGAACCCCTTTGCCCTGTGTAGTTTGACTGGCAGCTCTTTGGGCGAGGGACCAGCTTTCTGTGTGTGCAGCACCTAGCGCGTGGGGGCCCTGATCCCCGTGACGGCGGCTGTAACACAGATAAGGATATAATGTGTGTGTTCTTATCCACAGGATTTCATGCAGCGCTATAGAGGGATCCTTTACCACTGGATTGGCCTCCATAGGGAACAAGGCCAGGGCCAGCCCTGGAAGTGGACCAACGGTACCATATTCAACAACCTGTGCGTCCCTTTTCCTCATTCGCTTTCTCAGTAGTAGTGCGCAGAGAAATGCAACAAAACCCTGGGCTGGGTGGAGAACGGGGATTGGAAGCGAGACCTCAGGATCTTAAAAGCCTGATCCTCTACTGCCTGAGCTACAGGGCTAGTTCTGTGGAGGTTGCACCTGGAGGAGACTTGTAGACTCTTCCATAGCGTAGGCACCAGAGGAGGACAGAGAGCCCCACTTGGGTAATCTGGATGACACAGGTGGGACTGGTTGGAAAAATTCCAACTCAAAGTTTTCCCTTATGGAAAATCTGATTGTGTCAAAAGCAAAATTTCCTGCAGGGAAAGGTCACTTTGGATGAGATTTTTCCTTTGTGGAAATTGACTTAAATGTTTATTTTCAGTAAACCCAGAATGAAACATTTTCATTTTGGTTTGCCTGTGGGGTCGTTGCAGCACATCATGGGAATTGTAGTTCTGGGTCCTTCTGGTCCCATTTGTCCCTAGTCTTTGACCAGACATCTCCCATGATGCACTGCAGTGTCTCACTCATGCGTGTTCTTATGTGGTATTTTGGTGGTAGGAAGACACTGCAGTGCATCATGGGAGATGTAGTCCAGCTGGGAATCAGGACCTATAGGAGAGAGCAGGGGTGGAAGAACCAAGAGTGACCATTCCCAAATGAAAATGATGCACAAACACATCCCATTGTTCATGCACAATGACACCCCACCGAGGGGAATCACTATGGCTACGGGATGCAGCAGAAGATGCGGCAACTCAATGGGGGAGCAGCTCGGTAGCGCGTTAGGGCCTTGCTAAGCACAGCTGGGCTCTGGCTGCCTGGGGCAGAAGGGGAGGCAGAGGAAATGGATGGGAAGTGTGGGGGAGGGCTTGGGAGACCCAGGGGGAGAAGATAATGAGCGGGGGGGCAGGTGAGGCAGCACAAGGATATTGGGAGAAAGGGGAAGTTGCTGGAAGAGGCGAGTCTGGAGGGAAAGCGGGAGGACAGGTCTATCAATGGCTATTAACCAAGATGATCAGGGAAGCAACCCCATGCTCTGGATGTCCCTAGCTCCAATTGCCAGAAGCTGGGAATGGCCGACAGGGGATGGATCACTTGATGATTGTCCTGTTCTGTTCATTCCCTCTGGGGCACCTGGCACCGGCCACTGTCAGCAGACAGGATACTGGGCTAGATGGACCATTGGTCTGACCCAGCACTGCCGTTCTTATGACGTTTGTTTACCCTGAGGTATTGCCTGATTTCCAGTCTAGCTGCACTAATGCATCCAGTTCTGGTCACCCATATTCGATAAAGATGCACTCAGACTGGAATAGGCGCAGAGAAGCGCAGCTAGGATGCTCGCAGGAATAGAGAATCTCTCTTATCAGAGGAGAACATAAGAATGGCCATACTGGGTCAGACCAAAGGTCCATCCAGCCCGGTATCCTGTCTCCTGACAGTGGCCAATGCCACGTGCCCCGGAGGGAGTGAACCTAACAGGCAATGATCAAGTGATCTCTCTCCTGCCGTCCATCTCCATCCTCTGACAAACAGAGGCTAGGGACACCATTCCTTACCCATCCTGGCTAATAGCCATTAATGGACTTAACCTCCATGAATTTATCGAGTTCTCTTTTAACTGTTATAGTCCTAGTCTTCACAACCTCCTCAGGTAAGGAGTTCCACGGGTTGACTGTGCGCTGTGTGAAGAAGAACTTCCTTTTATTTGTTTTAAACCTGCTGCCCATTAATTTCATTTGGTGGCCCCTAGTTCTTATATTATGGGAACAAGTAAATTAACTTTTCCTTATTCACTTTCTCGACACCTCTCATGATTTTATATACCTCTATCATATCCCCCCTTAGTCTCCTCTTTTCCAAGCTGAAAAGTCCTAGCCTCTTTAATCTCTTCTCATATGGGACCCGTTCCAAACCCCTAATAATTTTAGTTACACTTCTCTGAACCTTTTCTAATGCCAGTATATCTTTTTTGAGATGAGGAGACCACATCTATACACAGTATTCAAGATGTGGGCATACCATGGATTTATATAAGGGCAATAATATATTCTCCGTCTTATTCTCTATCCTCTTTTCAATGATTCCTAACATCCTGTTTTTTTTGTTTGACTGCTGCTGCACACTGCATGGACATCTTCAGAGAACTATCCTTGATGACTCCAAGGTCTCTTTCCTGACTTGTTGTAGCTAAATTAGCCCCCATCATATTGTATGCATAGTTGGGGTTATTTTTTCCAATGTGCATTACTTTACATTTATCCACATTAAATTTCATTTGCCATTTTGTTGCCCAATCACTTAGTTTTGTGAGATCTTTTTGAAGTTCATCACAGTCTGCTTTGGTCTTAACTAGCTTGAGCAGTTTAGGGTCATCTGCGAACTTTGCCACCTCACTGTTTACCCCTTTCTCCAGATCATTTATGAATAAATTGAATAGGACTGGCCCTAGAACTGACCCTTGGGGAACACCACTAGTTACCAGTCTCCATTCTGAGAATTTACCATTTATTCCTACCCTTTGTTCCCTGTCTTTTAACCAGTTCACCAGGAGACTGAAAGAGCTTGGCTGGTTGAGCCTAGCAAGATGAGAGGGTCTCTCATTGCTCTCTGTAAATACCTCGGGGGTTGACACCTGGGAGGGAGAGGAGTTACTGAAGCTACAGGACACTGTTGGCACAAGAGCACACAGGGATAAACTGTCCAGGAATTAATATGGGGCTGGAAATTAGCAGAAGGTTTCAGCCCATCAGAGGAGGCAGGTTCTGAAGCAGTCACCCCGTAGGAGCAGTGGAGGCGAACCACCTAACTAGATAGAATACAGAGCCTGAGAAGTCTACGAACAGGAAGATATGCCGGGGTTGCCTGCCATAGCGGGGGGCTGGACTCAGTGACCCAGGAACTCCCTTCCAGGCCTATGTCCCCTCACACACTGGCAAGACCTGCAAGAAACTTCACAACCTCTGTTTCCTGTTCTCTGTGAGCCGGATTTTCAGGTGCTCAGCGTCCACTGTGACATTTACAGCTAGAAGTGACTCGCTCAGGGTTGATTAGTAGCAAAGCCTGGTTGAGACCCCAGTTCCCCTGCATCGTACAGCACTGGACCACATCGCTTCTCCGTACGTGAGCAGGAACGGGAGCCGGCTGCATCTGATAACCCCACACTGCTTCTCGTTGCAGGTTGCAGGTCAGAGGGGAAGGGCAGTGCGCCTACCTGGATGCATATGGGGTCAGCAGCTCCAGGTGCTACTCAGACAGACATTTCATCTGCAAGCGGCCAGACGAGTGCTCTAGAAGGAAGCCAACCGCCGCAGGAGGGGACACAATGTGTAAGATCACTTAAAGGGTCAATGCAGCCTCTTCAGTGGATGCAGAATTTACACATCCATCATCTCTTGCAGAGCATCGTACCTCTCCAACCATTGCTCCCTCCAGATCCCTGCTGAAAAACCATCTTTACAATGCTCACTGCACTAACTCTAGTGCACAATAACTGCCTGTAGGAGAACACTTCAACCTCCCTGGCCACACAATAGCAGATGTAAAGGTAGCCATCTTACAGCAAAAAAACTTCAGAACTAGACTCGAAAGAGAAACTGCTGAGCTCCAGTTCATTTGCAAATTTGACACCATCAGATCAGGGTTAAACAAAGATCGTGAATGGCTATCCAACTACAGAAGCAGTTTCTCCTCCCTTGGTGTTCACACCTCAACTGCTAGCAGAGCACCTCACCCTCCCTGATTGAACTAACCTCATTATCTCCATACTGATTTATACCTGCCTCTGGAGATTTCCATTACTTGGGTCTGATGAAGTGGGCATTCACCCACGAAAGCTTATGCTCCAATACTTCTGTTAGTCTTAAAGATGCCCCAGGACCCTCTCCTTTTGCATTGCAATGGTACTACTGAACAAGGGTTTTAGAGGTTTAAATCTAATATTCTGTTAATACCGGAAGTGAATAAGCTACTAGATTATGAAGAATCCCTGCTTTTATTTAAAGAAGAGTATGTTTCTAGCTCGCTTGGTTATGAATATACCCTGGCAAATCAATCAGAGCCTGAGTCAGCAGAGAGCTTGAAACAATAACTCAGAAAAGTGCCCATTTAATTTATTGACACGTTGACTCTGGAACCTAGTGTTGACACTGACTTTTCTTTTTCCTCTACGCTGCTTTTCCTGGTGAGGGTCGTGGCAGCAGCATGGAGAGTAGGGAGGACCAGACCTCCCTTTCCTCCGCAATAGATTCCAGCTCCTCCTGGAGGATTCCCAAGCATTCCCAGGCCAGCCAGGGGAAATAATCCCTCCAGCGTGTTCTGGGTTGGCCTCGGGGCCTCCTCCCAGTGGTACATGTTCAGTAGAGTTCCAAAGGAAGCCTACCACGGGGTAACCTTACCCTCTCTCAGAGAGTAAGCCCAGCAACCCTGCGGAGAAACCTCATTTCCACCACTTGTACCCATGATCTCGTCCTTTCAGTCATTACCCAAAGTTCATGGCCATAGGTGAGGATGGAGACATAGATTAAACTGTAAACCAAGAGCTTCGTCCGAGAACTCAGCTCCCGCTTCACCACCACAGATCACTACAGCCGCCGCCCCAATCCACCGGTAGATCTCCCGCTCCCATTTACCATCACCAAGCAGTGATTGGTTGACAGCTCTGCTTGTCTCTGCACATACGGCCTTCCTCCGAGGATCGTTACCTTAGCACAGAGAGCTTGGAGTTGCTGCTAGGAAGGAAATGCAGAGGGGAGAAAGGAAGTGAGTAACAAAGACAGGGAAAGAGCAGAGAGGGTGTGACGGGTTGGATCACAGAAACCCCCTTGGGAGCTGCCACCCGATGTGCAAAAGACTACCCCTGCTTCTGTTTTCCCTGCCAGCTCAGGACTCCAGCACCCTGTCTTGCTGAGCCAGACACTCCTGTTTGGCTCCAGACACAGATCCAGGGTCTGAATCACTTGTTCCAAAGCTGCAAGTTTACCTGAAAACAGCTCACAGTAGTGCGCTTGTCTCTAGCACTCAGATGCTCAACTCCCAATGGGGTCTAAACCCAGATAAATCCATTTTGCCCTGCATAAAGCTTATGCAGGGCAAACTCATAAATTGTTCGCCCTCTATAACACTGATAGAGAGATATGCACAGTTGTTTGCTCCCTCAGCTATTAATACATACTGAGTAAATTACTAAATAAAAAGTGATTTTATTAAATACAGACAGTAGGATTTAAGTGGTTCCAAGTAGTAACAGACAGAACAAAGTAAGTCACCAAGCAAAATAAAACAAAATGTGCAAATCTATGTCTAATCAAACTGAATACAGATAATCTCACCCTCAGAGATGCTTCAGTAAGTTTTTTCTCAGGCTGGACACCTTCCAGGCCTGGGCACAATTCTTTCCCCTGGTACAGCTCTTGTTGCAGCTCAGGTGATAGCTAGGGGATTCTTCATGATGGCTCCTCTCCCTCTCTGTTCTCTTCCCCCCCTTTATATATCTTTTGCATAAGGCGGGAACCCTTTGTCCCTCTGGGTTTCCACCCCCCCCCCCCCCCC